TTACTCTGCCATGCGGTCATGCACTGGCGGGAAGCAAACCGTTCTTTTCAATACTTTTTTTCCGAATCCTAGAGTGAATCAGCAGCGGAAACACCTTCGTATAAGTCGCTTAATTATTTTATTTTAGCGACATCATGGTTTAATCTCTCGTGGGTCGTCCGCCCTCACGCTCATCGCGGCGAGGGCGAGGATGGACGCGCGCCCTCGGCCTCGTGCACGGATTAGCGTCAGCAAGTGAATGGTTTTCCTTGCGGTTCTGAACGGTCGTTTGGGGGCTTCTGAGGGGATTTCAGCTTCATTATGACACGGGGGACTTGTTTCCCATTGGCACGAAAGGGGTACAGCAATTCGCACGCGCACGCACACGCACACACACACTATTGATAGGTTAGGTAGTGCATATCTGCAGAACAAAAAGACCCGTGTGCAAAGTATTACCTCGTGTTGTGTTGAGAGAGAGAGAGAGAGAGAGAGAGAGAGAGAGAGAGAGAGAGAGAGAGAGAGAGAGAGAGAGAGAGAGAGAGAGAGAGAGAGAGAGAGAGAATGAATGAATTTGTTTTTATAACATTTATTTACAGAACAGTATACATGCCCTGCAAAGAGACAGCGTAAGAGACAAAAAAATCTATACAAACTGGCTGTGTTTCTATTTATGTAGAGGGCTATCAGTCAAAACATTAGCGTTATATACATATACATGCCGGGGGCGTTACCTCCACTGAAGCAGATAATTGCCTCTTTGCTCTTTCCTCGTTCTTTCAGTGAGCCTACCTACATCCCCTCACTGAGGATATCATATCTCCCCTCTGTCTCCATGCGTTGGGTTGTGGCCATCCTAACAGTGGGCGCGGTCACTCCCCGACCACGCAGGGGCTGGCCTGAGTGCCTGTGCTTTGAAAATAAACGATACACACCTGCTTCCTCTCCCCTCTCCTTAGTTTCGGAGTTTGTCTGTTGCTCCGCTTTTCATTCTTTGGATCGACCTCAGTATTGTTAGCTGAAGCGTCCCACGAGGCAGGATCTTGGGGAAGTGAAGCACAGTGCATCAGTGTTTCTCGTGCTAATTCAGCCGAAAAAGACTCCCAGTAGACCTACCTCTTACACCCGAAGTGAAATCGCGAGGCCGCTTGCAACGATTTCAGTTTCTTGAATTGCCTTCTACATTGTCATTGGTTTCCCGTTCCCAGCTCGCGAATATGGCTGGCGCAGGTGCAGGGTGCGTCTTTTTGATTTCGAATATGTTTTTTATGTGTTTACAAGTGATTTAACAGGATGAAAATTGTTCATTCAGAGGAACGATAACGTAATTTTCGTCTGCAATATTTTTCAACAGAATATCGATCTCTTAACTTCGAACTTGCAACTTTGAAACTTTAAATACAGATTATCGGCTCCGGCAATAGGCCTACCCTGCAACGGCTGTCAGTTGAGGATGACTTAATTTCAAGGAAGCCTTTTTGTTAAATGGTTGCCCAAAGGTATTGTAAAACAGTGTTAAATGGATGTACTCGATATCAAAATGTGTAACAGAAAACGTGGAAAAGGCGAACGATGGTTTCACCTCAATTACAGAAGGCGCTGTACTTCGGCGCAAATTTCAAGTCGAGAAAGGAGCCGTAACTCATTCAGAGGCGCAATAGGACTCTAACTTAGTCTAGACTGCATAACGACGATCGTGAATCCAATCCAACAACCTTGTCAAGAATTAAGTGTCTCGAAACGGTCCTTTTAGCACAAACATCGGTTGCATGGCCGGCACTTTCCCTACGCAAGCAACTACTCGGGCAGCGTGAATAACTAAACATGGAGGTCTTGGCAAGTTGGCATATCTTTTAAGTGCTTACCGGACTGATGGAGAGTTCCGGAGCTCGAGGCGGGACGAAGCAGAACACAGGAAACCGCGTATCTGTTATGATGTGTTCAAGAGACGACCGTGGAAAACTAAACAACTTGTAGGAGTCAGTTCGTAAGGAGTTAAAAGATTTTTTTTTCTCGGTGAAAATAACGTGTCGAGAAATGGTATCGTACACCGAAGCACCATTCGTATATTGGTTATCTTTACAAACGATTCTTATAAAATATGATAATAGTAGGAGCAACAGCAGGCAGGCTATAGAAATTATTATTAGTGCAATAGTAATCGTACTAGTAATTGTGATAGTAATGATATTGAAAATAATGGTACTAAGGATGGTAAAGTCAATATTGATATTATTATTACTACTACTTGTAGTAGTAATAGTAATAATTATAATGATAAGGATGATAATAATGATAATATTTATAATAATAATAATGATATGATAATACTATTGACAATAATGATGATGATGAAGACAATAATAGTGATTTTGACCATTAAGCGCATCAGGACACAAAAGCAATCCTCTCCAGCCATATGGACACATCCCCGTAGCATTTTTTCCCGTAGCAAGTGAAAAAAAAATGGGAACAGCCTAGTATAGCACCAGTACAACACACCCTACATTCCGCCCAATTCATCATGAGCTTCCTTGGCAAAAGAAGGATTCCCAAGCGCAGGGTAATCCTCCTCCTCTGCCAAGACCCGAGATTCGAGGGAGAGCGACGGCGCGGGGCGGCAGCCGAGGGCGCGTCGCCATGGCAACCTTCCGCTGCGCCGACGCCTCCTGGACGACCTCTGGCCGCCGTTCCGGGAATCTGGCGGCGGCGGCGGCGGCGGCGGAAGGCGTCTTCGGCGGCGCTTTGCTCGTGTGAGGGGCCCCGGAGCGGAATTTGAAGGGGCTTCGATTGTCGCCATTATTGTTGTCCTTCGGGTCAGCTGTTGCCTTCGTTATCAGTATTCATGCCGTTGTTGTTGTTGTTATTGTTATTTATATTAATAATAATAATAATAATAATAATAATAATATTATTATTATTATTATTATTATTATAAATGTTATTTCTATAATCAGTGTCATTGATGATGATAATTATTTTTGTTGTTATTATTATTATCATTGTTGTAATCATCCTTGATATTAATATTACTGTTATTATCATTATTATTATTGATATTATCACTTCTCATTGTAACTAATTATTGATATTAATGACTATTAATTTATATCCATTTCAGTAAAAAAAATAATGATTATTATCATAATATTATGCATAATATTATTGCGTATTAATAATAATGATAATATTATGCGTATTAATAATAATGATTATTATTGCGTATTGATTACAATAACATTTTCAACAGCCATGCATTATACTGCAGGACTTAGGCTTCTCTCAATTCATTATTGACAGTTTATTTGTTAGTACCGCCCTTGCCTGGCCGGATGCCCGTCCAGTTGAACCAGCGCTTCCCCTGCGTTTGATTCTCCAGGCGATGTGTCGATTCTTGCCGTAAGACCGGGGTCGAGCCAGCAGTTGATTCGAACTCTCTCTCCCACACACACACCTTCGTATACGCATTCATCGTCTTGTCCTTCAGCATCTTCGAACCATCACCCTCTCGTTCGTGGTGGCTTCCGACTACCACTCTCAGCTGTTCGTCTCTTGGGTTTTGCTTTTCTAATGAGACCATGTAGGAAAATAAGTGATTGATTTTCAAGAAACAGAAATTTTATTCAACAGGAATTTATTCGTTCATCTTTTAACTGTTATTTCTGCAGCACCAGCTGGCATCAGTCAGACCCAGCCTCGATAAGGAGGGCACGTTGCCGGACTTGCTCTTCCATTCAGTCCACGACAGTTCCTCTGGTCGACCCGCCTGGCGGCCACGGACTCATCTCGACGCCCTCGCGACACATTTGGTCCATCTGCCCAAACCAGGGCTGTCTTGGTCGTCCTTGAGGCCGCCGCCACCCTGGATTCTCTGGAGGACGCAGCTTGGTTGGTGGGATCGGCCTCAGGGATTCAGTGAAAGTGCGTCCATGTGGCCTGAAATGGCGGCCCTGGAATTGGAGGATGGCAGGTCTTGTGTTAGTCTCAAGACTGGTCGTTAACTGGATACATCCTCCTCCCAGCTGACCCGACCCATGACCCCATGAGCCGACTTCAGGACCTGTTGTATCAGGACTTGACGCAAAGGTTTCGCTGCCGCACAGCAAGACTGCCAATATATTAGTGAAGATGCGAAGCGTGGTCCTTCTGCACAAGTAGTGGGATCTCCAAATTCAGAGAATCCAAGGCCCCAACCGCCGAGCCAGTCAGGGCGTTGACTCCTTGGTCTGGCGGCCCGGATTACGATCTTCACTTCCGTTGTGTGCAGATCTCGGGGGACTTCGATGTCCTCCTCGCAAGCATTTATCACCTGGGCAGATCCTCCTGGCAGATCCCTGAGCTCTTGTACCTTGAGCTTGATCCAGGCAGCCTCTAGACCCAATGGCTGCCAAGGGTATTGAGAGACGCCAATAAGACCATGCATTTACTTTGAAAATACTGTTACATTGTCAATTAAAACATGGAAATCGATAAAAGCGCTTTTGTGCAGACGGAGACTTCGGCGTGAGAAAGAAAATGAGCCACGTGCTTTTGTGAAAAATAGGAAATTATGTATTTTTTTTCTAAAGTGTAGATAATTGATACAGGGATTTTTGCATGGAAATAATCCACAGTAGAAAGTCAGAACGTCGGTATTTGTGTTCGTTTTGGAATTTCTGGGAAAGTCATAAACTGGTTTTGATATGGATGGCTGATTTATTTTGTGATGTTTTCTCCGGGTGCAATGGTTATAATGGGGTGGGGGTACAATGGCGGGCCACCGTGCTTTGATGAGCTAAAATCCGCTTGCGGCAGTGCTCAAGGTCGTAAACAGGACCTTGACTCAAGTGCCTCGCGGGCCGTACAATGAAGTCCTCTGCTCTCCGCTCTCGGTGTCTTAAGCAAATAACATTAGTATCTTTGTTTATTTTCCGCATTTCACCGTGTAATAATTACATCATTCGATAGTAAGTCTTTTCATTTATAAAGAAGAGATAACTGTTGAATTATGTTAATTTATGTGTATTTTTAAAAACTTCCAGATGACGCGCTACAAGCAGCAGACTGACGTGGATGACGACACCAGCTCGGTCGGGTCCGCCCGCACGGAGGACCTGCCGACGGGGACCCTCACGGTGCGATACCACATGGTAGGCTTCGGTGTTTCCCTTATGGTACTGCTCTAGTGGGATGAGAGTAATATGCGCACATTCTATGTTGGGCTCTGACCTCGTTTTCTGCTACCAAGGGGTCTCACTGGTGGAAGTCGCGCACTGCATTAGAAAAGGCCTTGTTGGTTGGCTGGTTGCTGCTGCTGCTGGTGGTGACTGTGCTGGTGGCTGTCCTCCACACGCACTCCAGGTCCCTCTCCTCCTTCAACCTCCCTCCACATACTATCATCCAAGGTAAAGAACGGATCTTTGTTACTTAAAAGACTTTGCGTGAGGTCTGTAAGGCCTCTCATAAGTCCTGTGAAGGTTCACTTGGCATCCGATATAAACCTTCTGCTGCAGAACCCACAAGAGCTTGAACCTCCCCCGCAGGTTCTCCGGACGACGCGCTGTGCCTGAGCCCCCACTGCGTGATGCTGGCGGGCTCGGTGCTCAGCAACATGGACCCCGAGACCGACCCCTGCGAGGACTTCTACCAGTACGCGTGCGGCGGCTGGGTGGCCAAGAACTCTATCCCCGAAGGCAAGCCGGTCTGGGGCACGCTCAGCAAGCTCGGCTCCGACAACCAGATGATTCTCAGAAATGTTTTAGGTAGGCACACGGAGGCATCCGCGCGCGCGCGCACTCACAAGCATACGCAAACTAACTAAAACTAAGTAACTAACAAACAAACGCAGACTACTAACTAATTAACTCCCTACCTACCTACCTACCTACCTATTACCTGCCTTATCTGTTGCTCCCGCGCAGAGTCGAAAGAGCCAGTGAACAGCAAACCCGAGGAGAAGGCGCGCGTGTTCTACCAGTCCTGCATGGACGTAAACAAAACCATTGAAAAACTTGGAGCTGCGCCGTTGCTGAAGATAATTGAGGTTTGTGTCCTCAGCACTGTGGTTTTGTAGAATCTCTCTCTTCATCTC